TAAAATACAGTGAAAATACAATAAAAACCAAATATGTACATAAATAATAATATTTTCCAAGGTGTTGCTGGTAGAAAAAATATTAACATACAGGAGCATCTTCAAGGTGCTACCCACCCTCAGGGTTGGTTGCCCCTTTTTTCACCCCATGCAAGTTAGCAGAGCCAGGTTTTAACTGCTTTCTGGAAGGTCAAGAGAGTAGGGGCCTGCCTCACCTCTGGAGGGAGGGTATTTCATAGGGCGGGGACCATGGCAGAGAAGGCTGTCCTTCTGGGCCCCGCCAGTCTACATTCTTTCGCTGATGGAGTCCACAGCATACCTCTCTGACCAGGTGGGTTGGGTCGATATAATGGGGGTGAGATGGTCCCTCAGGTAACCCAGTCCCATGCCATGTAGGGCTTTAAAGGTGATAACCAACACCTTGAATTGGACCTGGAAGCAAACTGGGACCCAGTGCAGGTCCCACAGCAAAGGTATAACATGTGCCATCTTTGGGGCACCCAAAATTGCCTGCGCAGCTGCATTTTGAACCAGCTGTAGCTTCCAGATACTCTTCAAGTATCTGTAGAGCACATTGCAGTAGTCTATACAGGACATGACTAGGGCATGAGTGACCAACTGAAGGGTCTTCCGATCCAGGAAAGGGCGTAACTGGCACACACCATGTATTTGAGCAAAGGCCCTCCTGGCCACAACTGCCACCTGCTCTTCAAGCAGGAGTTGTGAGTCCAGGAGGACCCCCAGATTATGCACCCGGTCTGTCTGGGGTAGTGCAGCCCCATCCAGAACCAAAGATGGTAAGCTTCTGGATACAGAGGAGCCCCCAACCCACAGCCACTCCATCTTACCAGGATTCAGCTGAAGGCATCATGAAAGGGTAGTCACAGCATCACTCAAAACACCTGGGATGGAGATGTATAATTGGGTATCAATATTAATAAGCTAACCTTATTTAAACACCATTGTTCCACTACAGAAAGGATCTGCAAAGGTTGCCAAATGAAGTTATTGTTGATGCACAATGTGGAAGTGCGGTGCTTCGTGGAGCACATGTTTATGCTCCAGGGATTATATCTGCTTCAAAATGTAAGAGTCATTGCGTGTGTTTAATGAATATTTTTTATTACAATCACTGACCAGAACTGCAAACAAAAACACATTTAAAATAAAAATAAGGTAAAAACAAAACAAGATAAAAAATTACAATTGGTAGTGGGTTCATCACTGAATAATAAAAGTCTGCCTAATTTTACAGGCAGTATAACAAAATTTAGCTACATTCAAGGAGACTGAATCATACTGATCTGGTAACAACAACTATACATAAAAAAGATCAGAATTTCCTGGGTGTTTTGCCACGTAAGGAATTATAAGGCAGATCCTTGGGTCCTTCTGGAGAGTACAATGTAGCAGGACACGAGCTGTAGTTTTAACAGCCCCTTGTCTGCAGGGGCAGAGTCTCAGCTCATAGGGGACTTTTGCGTGTGTTTACATATAAGTTTATAAAAAAACTATACTTTGTAACAGACAACAGTTCAAGTGTTAGTGTATGCTTCCCTTTGAGAGTTAGTATACCTTTCATCTTGTTCTTTTATGTTTGATACACTGCTATAGCCATTTTTGATAAGGTTTAATTTTTTTATGTTAAAACTTAATTTTCAAGAATCCCCCTACCCTTGCCCATTTCATGACTCTTTCCATGTGTATGTTCTCATATCTGTTTGATTGATTGATTATTCACCATCAAGTTGGTCTTGACTCTTAACGACCATATAGGTAAATGTTCTCTTGGAGGATCTGTCCCCTAATCTGTCCCTTCAAGTCTTTCAGCAGCCTAGCCATGGCTGGTGCTGATCACCCTCTTCTCTTTCCTTCTACCTTTCCCAGCATTATAGACCTCTCCAGAGAGCTAAGTTTTCACATAATGTGACTGAAGTAGGATAATTTGAACCTGGTCATTTGTGCCTCAAGATTGATTTGGAACCTGGTCATTTGTGACTCTGGGTTGATTTATTTTAGGATCCATTTCTTGTTTTCTTGGCTATCCATGGTATTCCCAGGAGTCTTTTCCAACACCAGAGTTCAAAAGTATCAATGCTCTTTCCATCCTGCTTCTTCAAAGTCCCCATGCCCGTTTATAGCCTGCTTATTTCTAGGCAGTAGGGTGATGCTTCCTGTGCTGATGTGCTCGCTCACAAATCCATTACGAGAGTTTCGTTATGATCTCATTTCTATACCCTGATTTAGATGACTGGTTCAACTGGTATCTTCTATCCTCCCTCCCTTTCCCTTCCATAATCTGTAAGCCTACAGTGTTAGAATACTGAACATTTATATTTTTCAAGGATTAACCATTAGGATGTATTTCTTTAAAAGTTATGTAAAATGCTGCCAAGTCTGCATCTGGAATAGCCATCAGTGATGTTTTTCCAGAGCTTATCTTGACTCAAGCAGATTCTTTTGGACGCATGGGGCTCGAATATGCAGCCTAGCAAAATCCCCAGTGAATGGCTGGATCTGTGTTCTTGAGCCAAGGAAAACAGAGTCCAAAGACTTCTCTCCCTCTCTTTTCCCCAGTCATGAAAGCTGGCAGTGTGGTTTCAGTGTACTCTGATATTGAAGGGAAATGCAAAAGAGGAGCCAAAGAGTTTTTCGGGAACAAAGTTTTCATTGGAAATGGGATTTCGGAACTGAGCCGCAATGAAATATTTACTTCTAATGGCCCATTGAAGTAAGTCAGAAGTGTATAACTATGATTGAAAATCTGCCCCGAATACTTATTTTAATAGAAAGCTGCAGCTATTTGTAAGTCATCTTGCCATCCAACTGATTTTATTTTTAATACAGTGAAAATTGAAGGAAGAATTATTTAGTCCAAATTCCTGTTGGTTTTATTTCTCCAATATTGAGGCTTTTGAACAAAATTTGCTTGAACCTATTGTCTGTTTTTGACCTGCTGAATCCAAATCTGCCTGTTCTAAAGGGAGATAGTTTAGCATTGATGTTAAAATCCAAAGTGGCAGTCTCAGTAGCACACATTTATCCTCTGAGTCACATTTGTAACCTTTTATGCTTTATGGAGTTGGCATCAGCTCTCTCGACTTCCACTTTTGGTGTTCAAATATGGAAGGTACTGTTGCAATATATTGGGTGTATCTTCTCCTTTGTGAGCTTTCCAAAATGTATCAGGCTGGCAATAGGGAATCAGAATGGTGAATTAAATAGCTATTTGGCCTGCCATCATTGGTTTAAAAGTCAGTGCAGAAGCATGGATGTGGATTCAGACGGTTGAAAAGCTCATTGCTTGACCAATAGATTATTTTCAGGTACCCTCAGAAACTGAGAAATCTCATAGGAACTAGTCCTTGAGGAGTCAGGTAAAGTGATAATGTTTTCAGATACTGCTGATCTACGGCCTTTATGCTGCAGTAATATAGTAGTTAAAATTTAACCACTGTGGTACTTCTTGCATAATAGTATGTTGCAGCCTTGATAGTACCACAGGTTCACTAAGGGCATGGCTAGATAAAAAAAATGGTAATGGAGACCAGATGAAAGACTTTCTTTAGCTGCAAACAACAAAATTTGAGTTAAGGCCTGAATAAAAAAGAGTCAGATGATACACGCTGTAGGAGGAGAGTCATGTTAGTCTATAGTGGCAAAAAATCAGAAGGCAGTTCACAAAAGCTTAAGCTTTTTAATAAAATGTGTGAGTTGGAAAAGGTGCTACTAGACTGCTTCAGGTGGTACCCAATCATTGTTATTTTATATCTTTCTCCCATCTTTTAAGCCAGTTAAGAAAATTAATAAATGTTTTTAAAGATTGATTGTTAAAAGTTACATATATTTATATACAAGTTAATGTGCATTGAATTTATTCAGAAATTGTTTTTAGATCAAGATGTAACTTTGGAGCAGTTTATTTATTTAAAAAGCCTTGGGACATTCTTTACTTGAATCATCCTTTTTTTTTCAACTAAATTAAGAAATGTATCAGGAATAGTTTAAGCCTGACTGATACTACAGTCAGATTACAACAGTTCAGTCTGCCCTTATTTATGGTGTTCTAACTGTTCTGCCCAGTTACTTATTCATGCTGACTGCAGTTATTTATCACTTAACATGCTCAGTTTGATTTGTACTCCCCCCCTTATTTTTTGCTTTCTATTATTTTGTTGAAATCTTAGAATATAGAAATTTTCAGTCAATATTGTCTTAAAACAACTGTAAAGACTTTGCAATGAGTGGTTAATTTTCTCTCAGCTTTGCTGACATCATCAGTCTTGGAAACTGGGCTAACTCAGGTTAGAAAATATAGTATTGTATTGATGTAACCCATCCAACACAAGTATTTTCATGTTATATTGATGACATGGAAAGGAATTCCATTGCAGCAGTTCCTACCACAGCAGTACAGTATAATGTAGAAAGAGGTAGAAATGGTCTTCAGAAAATGTGAATTAGGAATTTCCCTAGAGGGCTACAAATAGATATTGATCTGGAATTGATATGGACCCTAAGTGATGGTTGTCATCATCATCATCATTTGTATCCCACTTTTCTCTTAGAGCTCAAAGTAGCTTTCATAATGTTTTTTTCTAGATTCCTAATGTTATATACATCCTGTGGGCTTTGTTAGGCTCAAAGACTGTGACTGTAATAAGTCTTACATATTAGATTATTTTAATATATAGGAAAATAATTTATACATTAATGGTACAGAAACAACATTTTTAGAAATCTCACAAGACTTTCCATAGGGATTTTGATTGATATCTTGGGGAAAGCATTTATTACAATAAAATTATAAAAGACAAGCAACTAAACTGCAAGCCACATTTCTATGGAAGGAAATTATTTAGATACTATTAACAGTGAAAGCAATTTATTTTGAATTAAGTTATGCCTAAGCAATCCAATAAATCCATTTGGGAGTATGAAATTTGAAAATATATGGATTCAAAAGGCTTATCCTCTAATTAATGTTCCTGAAAGTAAAAACAGAATAACGTTAAATTAATGGCATATATTATATGACAGCCCCAATAAGTATTATATATTTAAATAATGTCAAACTAGAAACGTGGAACAGGCAATTTATTCACCATTCTGTGTTATGCCTTTCAGAGGGCTGGGAATAAAAATGACTGAACCAATTTACCATAGTCCTTCATTTGACAACATGTTATCCAGTTATGTATTTTTACAGGTAAGTTGTGTTCAAAATGAATATTATTTCCTGAACATTAAGGTTTCAGTATATTCCTGGGATCAAGCCACAGTGGCTGGATTTGCATACACTACTAAACCATAGCCATTGATTAGACACTACAGTGGTATGGGCTGAATTCATACATCATGTTAAGTCAGAAACTAACAGGCCATTTAATTTAATAGAACTGAGTTTTGAAGAAAAATCTTGATTTGAAATCCAAACGTATTTATGATCAAATTGTAGTATTTTTATATGTGCTATATTCCACTAGGACTAAGCTGGATTTCATTTTTCATAGCACTTCTTGTGAAATGCAGTAGTGTTTAGGGTTTCTTTTTTTATTCCAGTTCAGGAATTCAGTTAAGTATACCCAGCTCATCCTGATGTTTTCTCCAGGGTTTGGTTCCAGATAACATCAGGGTTAGGAAGACTATTTCTCCAACCCTTGCTGTAAAGATCTAACTTTCTGGAGAAAAGTAAAATGATGTGTTTAATACATTGTTGTTGTTATTTGTACATTTAAAGTAGCAACAAGACATTTCCCAACTTTTTGTATTCCCAGACTTAAAATATTTCACAAATCAATGCCAGGTGTTCATTTTTAAGAAATACTATCCTGGCAACATAATCCAATACAAGCTTACTCAGAAGCACATTTTCAGTATCTGTACACCCTAGTAGAGGATCACCGGTGTAATGCTTGAGATGGTCTCTCAATACTTCTCTTGGCATCCACCAGGGCTTTGTTCCACATAATGTTACTTGCTTTAAATGCTTTTAATTCAAAATGAACAGGAAGCAAGCATCTTGCAAAACATCAAGCATCACGCTGTATTTCTAACCGTGCCTTTGGGTCCCATCTAGCGTCTATAAGCAGGCTTAGAAAATGAAACGGGATGGGTCCAGCCCAGCACTTGGTTTGGAAGTATGGCAAGGGAGGGAGGGAGGGAGGGAGGGAGGGAGGAAGGAGATGATAGAGAATGTGGGAGTCTAAAGAGTATGTTGAACAGCCCTACCAGTTTGTGAGTAGCCATATTCCCCTACCCACCATTTTGTGCATGTGCCTCTCATATGTGCTTAAAATCTGTTATATCTACTCATACTTTATCCCTCAGTTAAGGGCTAGGACACCTACCTGCCATAAGAAGAGTGCCCGGACTTGTAATTTTCAGCCCTGTATTTATTTGTTTATTACACTTGTCTATCGCTGCATCTGGAGCAAGTCACAGCAGTTTACAACGCATAATGTAACAGAGAAGCTCAGTTAAAGCTGTCCAACAAAGAGCAGCATCAAACAATAAGAATGATAAAATAGTAACCATAGGAACCAACCTGTCAGTCATACCAACTGTCATCCACTCTTCAAAAGCTCTGAGGGAGAGAATGTATTGACTTTAAAGGAATAGCTTTTGGTGTCAAAAGAGACTTGGTTTTTAATGTTTACAGCTTTTTCCAGCCAACCACATAACTTTAATTTGGGATCATTGTTTATAAATTTAGAACAAACACTCATGCACAGACAGTTTAGACTCTTATGAGAAGAAAGATTAGGTTTAGTTTCAGGAAAAATATTCCAGTATTTTTGTGATCTCTGAGTTCTTAAAAGACTTATTCCCTCCTTCCTTTGCTAGAATTTGCCCTCATCTATTGTGAGTTATGTTTTAAATCCTCAGCCTGGACAGAGAATCTTGGACATGTGTGCTGCTCCTGGGGGCAAAACTACCCACCTTGCAACATTAATGCATGATGAGGTAAGTCACCACCTCAAATGTTTTCTTTTTCTTTTTTCTTTGCAAAGAGACTTGCTTATATTTTATTAGCATAACTTATTTCACACATTGGCTGAAATTCACAGATAATTCAAAGTAGCACAGCATGCATATTTGACATGTTTTCTAATCAATCAGATTGTACTGGATCACTAAAGGAACATTGATCTTTCTGAGTTATTCACCACAAATCTATTAATTCAAGCAATAAATTGTTCGGTGAAGATATGTGCTTTTGTAATCCATGCCCAGAAATATGTGAAAAGTAATTAACTTAAATACATTTAATTAAAATTAAATGATTTCAATTCCATTTCTGTCCTGGTTTGTCCATTTCTTCATCCTGACTCTGCTTAGTTTTTGGAATGTGGCCACCATGTACTACTTAAAGGCAATAAATACCCATCAGGCTGGAGAAGTTTCTGGACTCTCTACTTGGAAAAAGAGTAGGCAAAAAGCACTAACAACGTTCTGCATCCTCATTTTGGAAACAAATAGTAGGGGAAAAGCTGAGTACTGCAAGGAACTGTTCAAGCAAATTTAGCTTGGATGGCACTAAGGAACCACTTCAGATTTTGATGTAATACACATTTAGATGAAGTTTATTTCAGCTGAAAATGTCAGGAAACTTAGAACTTTCAAGTGAGCTGTTCAAAGAACTATGAGTTGTGCCTGATGCGTTTGAATTGGTGACTCTTCAAGAAGAGGAAAGGTACTTTGTGATGGGATGAGTTGGTGAAGGGTACCTTGTGATGTTAGTTTGGCCACCTGTTTGTTGGGCCCAGGTCCCTCCTGGGTGGTTAATGTAGCAGGGAAGTGATTTGTGCTTCGTTCTATGCTATGGTGGTAGTCTCCTTGAGAGAGGGGATGGTGCCTTCAGCCTTGAAGGAGGTGGTAGTACACCCCTTCCTCAAGAGACCATCCCTGGACCCAGCCATTTTGGATAACTATTGACCTGTCTCCAATCTTCCCTTTTTAGTTTCAAGGACCCTGGAGGAAGCAGATTAACTAGTCCCATATCAGTCAGGCTTCAGGCCAGAATTTGCTATGGAGACAGCCTTGTTGCACTTGTAGATGACTTGTGGCAGAGCTGGATAGAGGTGGTGCATTCTTTCTTATGCTCCTTGATCTCATGGCAGCTCTTGATATACTCAACCTTGGTATCCTTCTGGATTGGCTTCAGAGGTTAGGAGTTAGGAGCATTGTTTTACATGGTTCTATTCTTTTCTCCAGAGTCATTCCAGTCGGTGTTGTCTGGAGGGGGAGAGGTTGTTCCCTAGGCTCCTCCTTGTGGGGTAGCACAGGGCTCAACTCTTTCTACCCTCCTGTTCACCATCTACAAGAAACCACTCGTGAGTTTATTCGCCAGTTTGGGGTTCAGTATCATCAGTATGCTGATGATACCCAATTATATCTGTTGACCCCAGGCTGGCAAAGTCTACCAAGATTTTGTCCAAATGCTTGGAGGCTGTTTGGGCTGGTTAGGGAGGAACTGACCCTGATCAGTTCTATAAGCACTGAGTGGTTGTGGATATTAGGGCCAGCTGAACCTGGGAATGTTCCATCTTTAACCTTGGATGGGGTTGCGCTTTCTCATTCAAGGATGGTGTGCAATTTGGGTGACCTCCTGGATTCACAGCTTCTACTTGATGAACAGGTGGCAGCTTTGGCCAGGAGGGCCTTTGCATAACTCCATCTAGTGGGTCAGTTGCATCCTTTCCTGGATCAGGAGCTCTTCAGACAGTCACTTATGCCCTACTCACTTCACAGCTTGACTACTGCAGTGCAATTTACATGGGGCTATCCTTGAAGACCACTTGGAAGCTTCACCTGCTGCAGAATGGAGCAGTGAGTACAGTGATGGGCATGCATTGGTATGCCCATGTAACACCCCTACTTTGTGAGCTGTGCTGTTGGCAGTGTGCTTCCAAGTGCAATTCAAGGTGCTACTTATAACCCTACATGGCATGGGACCAAGTTATCTGAGGAACCAGCTATCTCCCATGGTGTCTACCCTGCTAGTATGAACCAACAGAGTTGGCACAGTCTGGGTCCTTTCGATTAAACAATGTCATTTATCGAGACACTGGAAGCATGCCTTCTCTGTCACGGCACCTGCCCTCTGGAATGAGGTTCCCCCTGATATCTCGGTGGTTCCCACCCTGATGATATTCTGAATGGCCTTTGACACTTGACTCTTCTCCCAGACCTTGGGCTAAGGTGGTGGTCTAGAGTCAGGTGGCCACTAAATTGAACAAATTGTCCGCCTTCTTGGTATAATGCTGTTGTGCTTATTGTTCAGTTTTCCAGTGTGGAGAAATTGCCAGCACATAGAACACATCCATGAAACACAGCAATAATATTCTACTTAAATTACTTAATAGTAAAGTGCCTATGTGTGATATTGCCATTTTTATCCATTTGCATTTCTATATGAGCACATTTTTGCAAAAGCTGAACACTTAGCATGTCCCACACTTGATGTAGCAGATTGGATTGAAAACAAATCCTCAAAAGTGGTTATTTTAAGGGCAGCAACCACTTAATGGGTTTCTGCACAGAGACTATTGACATGGAAGAAACTACAGCTAGACCCATATATTATAGCATTTGAATGAGATATGCTACTTTGTCTTGGTGAAGTTTGTCATGAATAAACCGTAACGAGGTATTAAGTCAAACAGTGTTGCTTAAGAAATGCAGAATGGTATAATGATTCTGAAATAAATGGAAAAAGCCACCACAGGTTTTTTAGATACAGGCATAATAGCTGATTTGCAGTTCTTTGTGGCAGTTTCTCCACATCTCATCTGGGAAAACAGATGTGTATTGAATTGGGGCCAAGACAGATCATGTCTTGTGTAAATCTGGTGCTTCATAGATTGACTTTAGTTATTTGAAATGATGTGTATCCATTTCTATACTTCAGCAATTTTACTTCTGTTTATATCATTCAAACCTTTTGATTTTCAATATATTTTAGGGGGAAGTGGTAGCCCTGGACAAGATAGCAGACAGAGTGAAAAAGATTGAACAAAATGCTGCATTACTAAATTTGAATTGTATTAAAGCTTTTTGTTATGATGGTACTAAGGCACTTGCTGATAGCAAAATAGAAGATGGGCAAGGTAATGTGAATTTTAACTATTGTTCATGGAATAATACAGGTTTTAAAATGGTCTGTCTTAAAGGTTCATTTAGCTTGGATTTGGATGGCGCAATTAGATGCAGTTAGTCAAAAATGGTACAAGTAGTCTTTGCTTAACGACCCTAATTGGGACTGGAATTTCCATTGCTAAGCGAAGTGATTGTTAGGTGACATATCACATGACTGCACCACTTAGCGACAATTCCGGTAGTCTGGTAGTTGTGTCCCAGTTGTGGTTGTTGGGTGGGGACCATGCCACTGTTAGATGAGGACCTCACACTTCTCTGCTGTTGGCCCTCTGTGACATCATGATAAAGATTTAAGAAAACAGGACTGACTTGTATACCAACTAAGCAGGACACATATTTTCTTGTTACATAGAATAAAATGGAAGGCAAAAGGAACACTTTTTTTTTGTCCAAACACAATGGCTATTTATAAGCAGTTCTTTAATTAAAAAAAACTTTGAACCAACACCAATAGGGTTGTATTTGTGGATTCTATCAGTTTAGCTACATTAAATTAATGTTACCCATGGAATTTTAATTAACTGTACTCTGAATTTTTCACTAATAATAGAGTTAGGTATGCACCATATATGGGCTATAGTCTTTGAAATGGAGACTTTTCTTTTTTTTTTTGCAGAAGGACCTCCATTCTTACCTGAGTCATTTGATCGGATACTTCTTGATGCTCCATGCAGTGGAATGGGACAGAGACCAAATTTGGCTTATTCGTGGTCTTTAAAAGAAATAACTTCTTATCAACCTTTGCAGCGCAAACTTTTTAGAGCGGTATGTTTAATCTCGTCTTGTCTCATGTCAGAAATGCAGGAACTAGAAAAGGGGAAATTTTTAATCTAAAGTTAAAAAATTAAAAACTTTAATAAAAGTATAAATTTATATAATTCTTGCCCAATGCTGGGCCACATTGATGGCAAAAGTATTTCCGACCAGCAAGTGTGTGCATGTCGGTCCCAAAAGATGGATAGTTGTTTGAATAGTGTCACATTTGCAGTAAATATCCTTGACCTCAGGGAGAACCCCCCATTTTTCCATCTGGTCTTTAGTTCTAGCCAAACCAGTGCGCAGTCTATTTAAACATCTCCAAACCGTCCACTCCTCCTCCGAATCTCCAGGCAACTCCTCAATTGGTTCTATCCAATCGTGAAAATGTTTTGCTTAGGATTGCCATCTTTTTAATCGTTCTGTTTGAGGTGTGGTAGCAATCCCCTTGGCACAATCTAAAAAGCTCCTCCTTGATTTCAATCTTTTTGTGGGAGGTACTTGGCCAAATAATGGATGTGCCGGATCTTGTAACACCTTTCCATATTCCATGTCTTGTGCCACGTTCCTTCTAACACCTGGTGGGGCTATTCCTGCCAAGATATAGAGTTTATCAAGCGGAGTGGGACGCAGACAGGCAGTGACAATGCAGCATGTATCACTAAGCACCCTATCCACATATATAGAGTGCGCAGACCGGCCCCAAACGAGGCAGGCGTACTCTGCTGCTGAGTAATACAATGCAAGGGCAACCATTCATAAAGTAATGGGATGGAAACCCCAGATAGTTCCAGCCAACTTTCTGAGGAGATTATTACGGGTGGAGATCTTTTGCTTTATATTGCAACAGTGTTTTTTAAAAGTTAATGTTTGGTCCAATGTAACGCCAAGATAACATGGTGTCTCCCAATGTGCCAGACTCACTCCATCCCAGATAATATCAAGCCTACGTCTGGCCTGCCTGTTTTTGAGATGGAGTGCAGAGACATTAGTTTTTGATGGATTAGGTTTTAGTCCATTCTCGTTATAGTATTCTGACATATTCTTAAGGGCCAGAGTGGTATGTTTAATAGTAAAAACTATTAAATAAAATATGAAGAAGGGGGTTTGGAGTTTTCAGTTGATTACTGGGTTGTTCTAAAAGAAATAAATTTTATTAAAATTAATATAAAGGATTCATGTCAAACTCTTGTTATCAGATTATGTTCTGTAAACTTTTTCTCATATCCTTAAAACAGAAAGTAGTTTGGCTGCCTTCAGGACATAATTTTATTGAAGAATTTTACTCTTCTGTACCTTGGTTATGTTACAATTCCTGAAAAAGGATATGGGGGGAAAAATCAAGATGATGGCTGTAATGGTGCAATTGAAACTCCGCCTGTTTGTTTATTCAGCTGTCTTCTGCTGTCTGTTGGAATATATTGGGCCAAAATGAAATTAAATGTCCTAAAGTCTTCCAGACATTTCTTCAGGTTCTCTTTCCCTTTCTCCTAAAGGAGAAACAATTGGGGAATTATCAGATCATCCTCTGAGAATAGCTCCTCGTAAATAATGTGCCACCAGGAATCTTAAATTGTTGGAGATATTAGATCTTCTCAGCTGTCTTCGGCTTCCAAGGGTGCTGGCCTTGATATGTGATTGGCCTCCATTCCACCACAAGCTGTTGCTAAAAAAGTTTGGCTGCAAAATAAAGGAGAGGCAGGGCTGTGGAAAAACATGCAAATAGAAAGGGCTCTTCACTTTCAGCAACGTTTCCATGGTGGCTCCATCATGATTAGTAGCCATTAGTCCTGGGACACCTTGTTAGGATTAATATGGATTGCACAACTGTTCTATAGAGAAGTTTTTGAACTAGTCTGTATGTTAAAAAAATAGTTTTGTTTGTGAAATACTGAAAAATTCTACACAGTGACAATCTGATTACTACCTTAGGCAGTGCAACTGCTAAAGCCAGGGGGCATCCTAGTATACAGTACCTGCACAATTACCCTTTCTGAGAACGAAGAGCAAGTGGCTTGGGCACTGGAAACTTTCCCTTGCCTCCAGCTTGAGTCACAGGTAAGGACAAGCTTCTTTGTAAAATTCCATGTATCTAGCTATGTTTCCCACTTTTGTATTACATTGACAATTGAAATCATCTTGTGGAAGATTACATCCAATTACAGCCATTTTCGTATCTACAAGGATTGAGTTCAGATAAAGAAACATCTATCATCTATTTCTTTTCTTTGGCTTTTCTTGTTAATATTTTTCATAGGCAGATGGATAAAATTATCTTTTGTAATAATTTTTAAACTCATTTCTACCTTTTGCCTACATCTATAGACAAGAAAGCATTTGAAAAGAAGAACAGAAGCACCAATGAACTTGCATATCTTGATAAGCCATGGTTTAGCACTACACACAAGAACTAGAATGAGCCTTAAGTTTTCACCCAGCTTCCCATCCTGAACAGCTAAGACATGTTCTGCAGTTGTCATTGTTTTGTTTCATTTAAAAAAACCTGGCATAGTATTTTGTAAAAACTAGAGATTGTGTTTTAAAACAAACTCTGCTTGGTTGAAGAAGCCAACTTGGACAGAAGTTGGATTGGTTTGATTAAATGCTTGATCTATTTTTTGAAAGCCCCATTCTGTAAATAGTACAAATGCTAAAATGGGATACTTTGGGAGGGAAACTAAACACTATTCAATCTACTTTAGGAATGGGAGCCATTTGGGGGAAGGATGTACAGAAGTTCTGAGGTTAGCTTGGGCTGGTTATATGCCTTAGAGGAAATAGACATTTTAATAGGGATTTAGCATTAGGAAGAGTGTTGTGCAAGGCATGCCCAATCAACATTATATATTCCTAGTACAGAACTGTTGTTGCTGGGGTACCGAATCCATTAAGGCAAGAAAATGGATTTTGTCCTTAATTTGCTAGACCATTTGCCTTAAAGAATTACCTTTGCATTCTTAGTACCAAGCAAAACTCAGCTGATCACTTTTATTAAGTAGATATATTTAAAATATTGAAAATTGATTTACTAGGTAAAACTTGACAGATCCCCTAATAGATCATATACTGTCTCAGTCCTATATCTTCCACCTGCTTAGTGGGGTATGGATCCAGAGCCTGCAAACCTACCAGCTGTTATAACACTCATCAGAATAGAGACCAAATTAGGGTTTCTTATATTACTGATGACATATGGTTTTCATACTTTTTATATCATTGGTTTTACACCTGCATTTTGAATCTTCACCCTTCACAGAGGATTATAGCAAGACAAACTCAAGAACAGTTTCCTGCTATAAAAAATATTGTAATAATGTTCTTGCAAAGGTAGAGCTAGCTGGCTGACCTTTATAAATATCATCTTCTATTTTAAGTTAAATAATGACCAGCCAAACAATTAAAACTGCTTCTTTTATTTTCCTCCCTAAAAGGAGCCCCATGTTGGAGGAGAAGGCATGAGGGGAGCTGGATTGTCACCTGAGCAGCTGAAACAGCTACAGAGATTTGATCCATCTGAAATCATTTTGCAGGGAATGGACTTTTATTCTTTGCAGGATGTCAAATATGAAGATTTAATACAACTAGCAAATAAAGACTGCATAGGATTTTTTATTGCAAAATTTATAAAAGTGCAGTGAAAATTGCTTTAGACATCAATGTAAATAAATCTATTCTTTCCTTTTAGCCTTTGGAGCGTTCCAAACTGTGTTTCATGCTGCAGCAATGTTGCCAAGCCAACAGATTGACGACATAGTTGCTATAGCAGCAGTAAAATCAGCCAGCTGTTTCTCCTGGGAGAAATCCACAGGTTGGAGAAACAAGTCTAAGGAAGGGGGCCGTTGCAATTTGGAAAGTTTAGTTTGGTTTTGCATTAACAATGGGTCACTGATTCTGGAAACCTGCCTGTTTGCTCAGTTTGTCCAGATGGTTTTGTTTACAATCATGCACAGTAGGAATCCTGCTTCAAAATATTCTATTCTGAGTACAAAATCAACTTTGAAAGGATTCTGATACATTTTATAACTTCTTACAAATTGCCGCTTTGGAAAAACAATGTTATGGTATTAAAAAGCTTCATTTAATCAAAATTGGTGGTGTGAGCATCTGACTGCTTTTTATTAGTAATTCATGTGAGAGCTTTCTGTTTCCCTACAAAGTTAATTGTATTTTGTTTGTGCCTATCTATGTAACAGTACACGTTCACTTGTGCTCTCAGGAATGCTAAGTTGAGTGTTCCAAGATCAGATGTGTTGTGTTTGACTCTGGAGCAGAGCCAAAGAAGAAGTACTGAGCTGGGGAAACAAGGCAAATCCCCTGACATGTCTTCTGAACACTCACATCCTTCTTGAACTTTAGCTCCCCTTTAAAACCACCTATTAGTGACTTTTGCCATGTCTGACGATAAAGCAATTCCAGAGTTATCTATGTGTTGTATGAAACCGCTCTTCATTAAGCCTCAGTGTTATTACCTTGGTTTTTAATAATATGATCTGTGTGTGCATCAACATTACCCACATCATGCATGATTTTATATACATCTGTTATGGCCTCTTTACCTGGCTTTTTTCAGCAGCCCTCCTCCAACATAAGGAAGCTCTTCTATTTTCATATCATTCTGGTTATACGTTTCTGCACATTTTCCAAGTTCTATGATACTTTTTTGAGAAGTATGAATAAGAATTGTAGACTTGTATCTTATTTCACACTTGCATCTTATATTTATAAAATAGTTTAACTATACTGTCCTATTGAAATCTTACTGTCTTGTGTGGGACAAGGGAGTAGAGAATAATTTTGTACTGTATCTGATTGTAAGAATTGCGGAGTTTGGGGTGATGTTACAAAAACATCTCAAATCTGCAACAAAAACAGATGTTAGTGTGTAAGATGAAAAACTAGAAAAATATAACACTTAGAAACCTCAACCTGTTTCCATCTGGAAGTGAAGCAGAAATAAGGAGGAGATAGAATGCTTGGAATCCCTAGTTCAGGAATGAAGTAACATGGGGCCTTCCAGATGTTCAACTCATGATGTTTGCTGCATTTTCTCCAGAACCAGTGATGGTAGTATAGTTTGTCACCTATAAATAGTGAATAGAGCAATATGTATCAGGAAAACTGAAGGGCAATCTGATGTATATTATGTATGTGCTATATACTGCAATGGAATTCATATGAATGATTGCAGTTCTGAAAAACGGCCTTAGAGACCACATGCGTTCAGGCAAGGAGAGCACTCCAATGATGTTATTTGATAAATAAAAATTCTGATCAGGAAAGAACCAGGAAAGCAAAGTAGAATTAAAGATTAACAAAAGAAAAAGCTCACAGAATGCATGCTTGCCAAAGAAACAGAACATCTTTTAATGCTGCTGAGGAAAACTGACTAGGATCCATAGCCTTTAAGCATCTAAACTAAGATTATGTTAGAAAGTGAGCTTCTAACAAAGCTCAACTCTAGAACCTTTTGACAAGAGGTACTTGGGTGTGTTATATACAGTGGGGCAAAAAAGTATTTAGTCAGCCACCAATTGTGCAAGTTCTCCCACTTA